GAGCATGAACTGTCGTAGGATGTCAGCTAGCTCTTAAAATAATTGCTTCCAATGGCCGACTCTCAAGATAACATGCCAGGCGATTGAATCGAAGCCAGCCTGTTAGATTCAGGAAGATTGTGAAATGCCAGTTGGTCTTACAAATGAAGACACTCCAGATCCTATCATGGAATAGTGTTGGCCAAGGCAACTTCAACCTAGTCTGCAGCCACGCCCTAACACCCCATGCAAACTGGTTTGGGATAAGAATGCTGATTACTTCTCAAACTCCGCGTTTGGAACATGTAATAAACAGGGCTGACTTATCGGTTCTCAATGCAATCCAACCATGAAGCGAACCCCCCGATCAGTGTCTTCCTCCAAGTTGAACTTCTTGATTGCAGGTAAAAATTGAATTTTGAGCAGGGGGGAGGGGGAGGATTTATTTGGTAGGCTTAAAGACAAGACAGACTGTATCGGCACCGGTCATTCCGCCGAAGGTGAATGTCCGCAGCGGCGGAAGCTCCTGGGAGAAGGAGAAGAGAGGACGTGAGAGCGCGCTGCCGGTAAACTCGGAGGACCGATCTTCGCTCAAGGGCTGTTCAAACTCTCGCCTGAGTTCATCAGCTGTCCAGTTGCATGAAGTGATTATGCAGTGGCCCGAGGGTCGCATCAGTCGATAGATATGCGCTAGGTAGAGCTGACGAGGGCGCCGTGAAACTGCTCGCTGAGAGCTGACGACGTTCTCGCCACCGGCTGCTGCATCCGTGAAAGTTGGAGACTCGGAACTGGCCAGACTAATGGCGTCAAAGGTGCCTTTATCAATCACGACATCAAACAGGTCCTTCTCCGCCCCGGTTAGGAGATTGCTCGTGACAGAGTCCGTGGATAGGACATCAACACACTGCGAGGCAGGCGGGGGGGGGGTGGAACAAAGGATGTCAGTAACGAAGTGAAATGAGAAAAAATGAGTGTAATTACCAGGGTGATATTACTGACAAAGACAAGGGAGACTGGAATTGCCATTTCTGGCTCGTTAGCAGTAGTCAGCCAGTCACACCCAACCCCGAAGTGTGGGACACCTGCAGCTCAATCCCGCTAGCCGTTGGTTAGAAGTTTAACGGCCCTAACCACTGAGCCACGGGCTCGTTGTCATGCCGGTTTCGATCGGGAATGTGCAAGGACTGAAGGGGGAGGGTGCTCACCGGTCGTGATATGGAACTCAGTGCATTTACCACCTTGCGGTGACAGTGGAGATGGAATCTGAGCGGAACCCCCATTCGTCGGCGTTCTCACCAGTAGACAACAAAATGGCGGTCCGAATACAATGCAGCTCTTCAGTTTTCCTGTTAATCACCGCTATAAAATAAAATGAGCTGTAAAAGGGGTCGCACACGGATGAATACACATACACCTGTCACGCCGGAAGCAAATACTAACAAAACTCACTACCTCCCTGGTCGATTCGGAATTAGCGGCTACCCAGAGATATCCTTAACCAACGCCTAAAGCCTCGCCAAAATCAACCATATGATGATAATGATAAAACAGAACCCCACATGATGACGCACATTAAAAACGTCTCCGAGGCCGCAGGACGCGTCGTTCTGATATTCACAGGCCGGTGGTTACAGGACTCAGTCAAACCATCCACGTCAAGGGCTGATTAAGCCTGGGGATAGACGTATTCTTTGCGCTGAGTGCACCTGCAGCTATGCAGGCCAAACTTGAGGAAAACTGGTAACTGGCTTGTATTAACATATGAGGGCTAAACACACGGTCACCGGTGTCAAATCATTATTTAGAGCAAGATCACGCCCTGGACTGCGTTGTCATGAGGCGCGTGTTAAGGCTAGCAATCGCATACTCGGTGCTACGTTGTCAAGCTGAAGGTCACAAACCAGCAAAGAAATTGATGGCTTTGCTGCAAAGATCAACGCAGGTATCCCCAATAGCTGAGTTTACTGAGTAGTTCGCAACTTAAACTGTTCTTTTTGTCGATCTTTTCATATTTCAAGAGATAGACCGGAGGACCGGTCCAAAAGATCAGGTGAAAAAGGCTGATTCTTCCGGTAATCGACTTTTAAACTTTAACGTATGAAATTCCCTACACTGGTTGGCAGTTTTACCCACCAGATTTCCCAATGCAGACTGACCCTCGTCACGTAAAATCAAAGCACAATCCAGTCTGCATAGGGCAAACGGAAGTTTAAAAACTCGGCAGTCCTCGGTGCAGGATGGTAGCAGAAATAGTAGTAGCAATGGCATTAGTGATGGTGGCAGTAGTAGTAGTGGTGGTAGCAATAGTAGTAGTAATAGTAGTAGTAGCAGTAGTAGTATCAGTAGTAGCAGTGGTAGTAGTAGTAGTAGTAGTAGTAGTAGCAGTAGTAGTAGTAGTAGTAGTAGTAGTAGTAGTAGTAGTAGTAGCAGTAGTTGTAGTAGTAGCAGCAGCAGTAGTAGTAGCAGCAGTAGTTGTTGTTGTTGTAGTAACAGTGGTAGTAGTTGGCGGTGGCGGTGGTGATAGTACTAGTAGTAACGATGTTATTAGTACCAGCAGTGTTTACAAGTGAAACCCGATTAATTTAACCAGGCTCGTTAGAAAAACACTAGCGAACCCCTCGTTAGAAAAGGGATATTCCAGAATGTTCGCATATGAAGTATGTGCACTTCACCAGCCGATGAAGTGCGTTGAAAAAAAAACTAATACTTAGTGTGAAAGACTGTTTAACTACGTTGGGCGCAACCGAGCCTGCAAAATGAACTAATCAGAGAGAAAGTACTCAACAAACCTTAAAGTCAACGCGATCTGAGAGGGCAGGTTCCTCAGTGAGTAGCTTCTTGGAAAGGGCTATTGCATTTTCAGAATAGTCGATCCCCATCACACGTTCAAAGCCTCTTTTGGCCTAAAAGGATCAACCAATGTGAGAGAGGCTGATGAGTTTAGTGTACCAATTCGATGGCCAAGTGACCGTTTCCACTCCCAACGTCGAGGATTCGCGATTCAGACGGAATGCCGACATCAGACAGGTATTTGAGCACACGTTTCTCGCTTTGCTGGCCAAACCTTTTAGGGATAGAATGTGGCCATTGGACTTACCAGATATCTCCAATGTCACCAGCTTCGTCAAAGTTCTGCAATTCCCTTTCGTAGTGGCTATCCCAGCTTTGAGATGTAGGTTAGAAGAAAAAGGACGGTGGATACTGCTTACTGAGCCTTAGTACCTAATTCGGAGGGCTCAAAGTCACCCATGGAGGATGCGGTTCTGAAAAAAGCGAGATTTACAATCTCTGTCAATAAAAAGCGGGGCAGAGTGTTCTCTAATTGCTTAAAAAATATTGAAAACTGTATCAGTGGGGGAAATCTTGAAAGAGTAGAGAGACTGGAAGACACCCGAACAAGCCGGTGTGGATCTCACAGCGAAAACTTTCCAAAACGTGGCGTACTCTCCCCTTTTCTAGTTTTAATTCGAGTGCTTACGGATGTCCGTCAAAAATTTCAGCATATAGAAAGTTGAAACCGGTGACTGAGCTGGATCGTCCTGTATTCTGTGGCAGTTTTTAACTAGTCGTGTAGCGTCGGGCTGTCCAATTTTCAGGTCAAACCGTATGACAAATTATCCGGCCCTTCTACACAACTTACTGCCGCGGGGAGCTTGTGAGTATTGAGAGGTTATTTCGTCCAGGATGAAGTATTTCAACTCATATATTCACATCAAATTTCGGATCGGGCCCGAAAAGGTTTATCCCAGAGCAACTGGCTCAAACTTGCGAACAAATTAATTAAAAAACTAAAAATCTTAGCAGTACTACTTCCCGGCATGTCGGAGAGGACTATGAGGGAGAATACACACAGATACAAAAAGCACTAACACGGACATTTTTCACTTCTAAGCCGTCATCAACCAGCCTGTAGATTCAAACTCGGATTCTTAGGTCCCTGAGTGCATGTTAAAGCTCAAGGATTTATCACTGTGCCACGAGCTCGCCTCAAGCAAGAACGCCCGTCGCTGCCCTGCAAGGTGAGCTCACCGACAGTGACTTACTCGTGAGTTTGTGGTGGAACGAGCCCTCTTTACCACACTCCGATAGCAAGACAGTGTCAAGACGCCTGTGCGCACCCACACACACACACACACACACACACACACACACACA